ACACACACACACACACTCATACTAGTCCATCTACATCAGAGGCTTGCATCACGAGGTCCAAGTGAGTGAGAGAGATCAAAAGGCTTCACTTTACTTAGCACTCAACGTCACTCGGAGTCTTATTAAAAATTTCATTACTCTGGCTGAATTTTTTATCCCACCGCGAGCCATGCAATAACTTTTCTTCCTCTTAGCATTTCATCCCTTTTGTCCCCAACCGCCCAGCTGACCCACAGGCCGCGCCGCACCCCCAAAACACCCTGTCAAGTTCAATTCTCATCAAATAGTTGTACATTTCTTCTGCCACTCGATGTCTTTCAGGCCCAGTCAGTCTCACGCCAAACTTTCCCATCCGCAAACACCCCCTCCTCCCCCTCCCCATGGGCACAGTGCCAGAAAAGTTTCCCTTAATTTCTTCACACGAAACTGTGCGGCGGCGACCTGGCCAAGAGACGCGGTGAAGAGGTGATGACAGTCCTCTCCATTGACATCCCGCACCGTATAAATTTCCCGTTTGCCCCGTGGTTTTTACGTCTCCGTGCCATTGTCAAGCCGTGGCACCTGCCAAATATGCTTCCGCTTGCAAAATTCCATGACATCGCGGAGCAATTTGAGCGCGCGTGGGTGGCGCACATTTTCATCAGACGCGCCCGATGAGAACTTTCGCATTGCCAATTGTCTCGTGATTTCCACCATCGCCGCCCAAGATTGACTTTCCTCCCACTCTGGCTGGAGATTCAATTAGGATTCTGGATGTGTGGTGGGACTTCTTGAGTGATTACCTAGAGATTTTCTCACGCAACATTGGGCAATTCTCTGTGATTGTCTTTTTGTTGTTGGGGGAGGGAGGAAAGTTGGCCACAGAATTTAAGAGTGGACGGAATGTCCTAAGAATAGACTTTTGGGGGAAAACTTAATCAATATAATTTCTAAAATAGTCACTACAAAGTTTGCTCAACAATTCAACATCCGATTGAGCTGAAGATGGTCATGAAATCATTATTGATTGACAAGCCTAAAGCCATCCCATAACAGCATGACAACAAGCATCCGCTTGACCCTCAGCATCATCTTCTTCTCTCGAGCACACTGCCTGACAAATGGCTCAAATTCCGTCCGATTGTTGAAATGCAGACACTCCAATTGGCAAAATCCCCACCTGATGCCCAAATTTACTTAATCGGATCAATTTTTCCTGCCTCCTTCGGCCGATTTTCCCGCCCCCCTCAAGACAAGCTGTCCGGAGTCTGAGGAGGTCCGCGCGTGCTGTTTGACGGAGAAATTATGCGATTTACTGACTTATCTTGTCAAAAAATCATGCCGAAGCAAATCAGAGTCACATACAGTCAAATGGAAGCTCCCTTATCTCGAGCTTTTAATCTCTTCAAGTTATTTCGCTTTCTGTTTGTGTTTCTGTTTGTTTTCCGCTGTAAACAAATACCGAAACAGTTTGATATGGCGCCTTGTTTAAATAACCAACGCACGATCTCCAATTTTCGGGTCCGGGGGGGTCGACGCAGGCCCACCGCCGAGGGGCGCTGCTGCGTGTGGGGGTGGGTGGACTCTTGGGCCGCAGCGGAGATATATTGTGAATTGTGTGCACAAGATATCTTATGACTTGTACTGGCATTATGTTGTTAACCCAGAGAAATAGAGAGAAAAAGACCCCAATTGACTATTTCAGCGTCCACGACTCTCTGACGACTCTCTGACGACTCTCTCACGACTCCTATAATTGAGTCGGGCGACAACGAAAAACTTGTCGTCAGGGCAGTTGTGGAGAATTATGTGAGGATCTTCTGACTCGTCGAATGACAGTCTGCGACTCAATTTTGACTCTCGCGACTCACTCACAACCCATTTACGACTCGAAATTAATTCATACTCGAGCGATTTTAGGTAAAAATTCCTTAAAATAGTTTAATGTTTTTCTTAAGCTCTTCTAATTCACGTTTGACTATAATTTTTGACAAAAACGAACTATAATTAAACTTTTTTCAAGATAATTTTATTTACATCGCATTTTCATGACAGGTTGATAGCGTGACTAAATTCAAATAAAATGACTTTGAAGTCAAGAATAAGAAGGAGAAGAAAATCAAATTCCAATTTGTGGGATTGCCGTCGCGACTCACTTTTGACTCAGCACGAAAGAAGGTTAATTACTGGTTGTTTAACTCTACATTGACTAGTTGTGACGACTAGTTGTCATGACTTCGTGAGTCGGAGGATTGTCAATTGGGACATGTCGGAGGGATTCTCATAATCGTGTGCGTCCCCCATTTTTCTCCCCAGGACGACCCTTTGTCGAGGGTGGCAGGCATCATAATCGAGGTAAGGACATTCAAACTATATGCCCTGCTGCAATCATCCCTTTTCGCCGTTTTTCCACACCCTCGCCACTGCGCCTAGTTAATATAAACTTCACAGGGTATCTTCATCTAATAATTTAATATATTCTCACATATTTATGTTATGTGGTCATTTTATTGTTGAAAAGGGAATTTGCTGCTGCTCGTATGTAAGCAAACTTCCCTCTTGCGACGCTCCCCACGACCATTTTCATTTATCTACGGTTAACCCAAGTGAGAGAGAGTGAGAGAGACATTCTGGGGGCAACAAAACCTGTGGGCCTATGGAAAAATCGTGGGGGGATTCGCCCGGCCATTGTCACTTTTCACGGGATGGCCTTTTGGGATCACTGAGGAATTTTGCATGAGGTGAATGGGCTGCTAACCCTAGTCACCACTTTAAGCCAAGAGAAACGATCAAAATTCAAAATCTCCCCGCACAGATTCTGGGCTTTGGCCAAACTTTCACAGCGGAATTCCTAGACTGAATTTCCCGAGTCCGCAAATGATTGCACACTAAAACTCTGCACACACACACACAATTTCTGCGCCCCCTTTTTTTGAGCCCTTATTTAATGACATGATTGAAACACTCACCCTTCTGTCTCCATGGACTATGTGCACAAACGCATGAACTTATTAATTGTATTTGCTGATAGGGTTCAATTATTCCACAGCAATTGGATAGCTGTAAAATGATATGAAGTTTTCACACAAGAGAAATATTTTTTCCGCATACCTAAATTAATTGGTTTGGCCATATAAAAAGGGGCAAAAGCTCATATTATGCGTAGAATTATGCAATTACATTGCATATTGGATTACCGGTTTATTATTTGTGGGAGTTTAAAAATAAACCAAATACGACAATTTCAGCTTATCACCGCCAATAGAAAAAGTATTTATTATAACTAAAAAATCTACAGATGAATGGAAATTGCGCGCAAAACCAATTTTCATGCATTGACGACTTCAAATTTGTGGTTTTATTTGGTGGATGATAAAATTTTGTGAGAGAATTCTCTGTTATCTGTAAATAGACAACATTATGCATATTATAATAAAATTGCATATGTAATAAAAAAAGGCAATTTTATTAAACACAAAAAATAATAATTTTGTATACGAAAAAAATCAGTACAAATTGCTTTCAATTAATGTCCAGGAGAGGAAATTTAATTAAAATATCATTTCAGGTGAACTATTAAAAGTTTTTTTGTGGTTTTCGACTTTTTAGCTAATTTATTTTCAATTTATTTTTTTATTTCTCTCATCCGCTGCACATTATGAGAATTGTTTAAATATTTCGTACACAAGTGGCAAAATGTCTTGTGTTGCAATTGCAAATTCAAACTCTGTCTTATAACGAGTTAAGTGAAGTGTTCTATTTCACGTTCATCAAGCTAAGTAGTTGAGAAATTCCACTCAACAATGAACCTTAATACGAGCTTTACTCAAAATCGAGAAAGTAGAAGAGAAGCTTTATTTACTATAGTTTAGTAAATTTAAGTTTTGCGTTGTATTTTTGTGTGCTAAAACATTAAAAATTTATTTAAATCATACTTTTTAGAGAGCAAAGTGCTGAAAAATGTTGAACAGAGGCTAAAAACACACCAAAAGCAAATTGACAAATCCCAATAAAGACACCCTAGAATGTGAATGTCTTCTAGACATTCATAACTCATGATTTAATGTGGTTATCCGAGCCAATATTAGATTCAGAGCAAAATAAGCAATGCTTGACTTAATTTTCGCTGTCCTTTTACGCACATTTCTCTGAATTTTGCGATATTTCGTCGTCTAATTGAGACATCATCGTAATCTCAGTACCAAGTGAAAGGCAAGAAAAGATCGAATTTTTAGCACTAAAAAGGGAAATTCACCTTAATTTTCGTGGCGATTGGAAATGCGTTGCTTTAGACACATTCATTTAAATTTCAAAACCTTTAATGCATTGAAATGTGGAAAATAAGGCTTCTAAAACGGTCCTTGCCCCGGGTCTAAAAATATTCTCGTACCAATTTTCATTGGTGTATTCTTTCTAGAGCCAAATTTCTAGGAATTTCGCACAAAAACCACCCTGAAAGCTCAATTAAAGGCCTGCAAACGACGGGCCGAAGCTTCCGGGGTGGATAAAAAGGGTGCGCGGACGAAGTGGGGCTAAAACGGGGGGATGATTTTACGGTCTCACGGATGATGCGGGAGTGCTTTTGGAAAATAGTTGCAGACCCGTGGGAAGTGTCAGGGAAAATCTCGTGGATTTCAGGGGGTGAATTTCGCCGATACGGCGACTGGACGAAGAGTGGAGTGTGAAGCTGAGGAAATCCACTTCACCAGCTGATCACTCGCTCCTGCGCCGTGTCGCTGCCTCTCCGCCACGGATTCATCTCTGGCGGAGCTCTGGGATGCTGGATGCCCGCTTCAGTCGCATCGTGACCGTCAGCCGAGCACGCGGGTCGCTCATCACGCAGTCCAGTGGCGCGCGCTGTGAGGAAATCCAACACACACACACCCCCTCAGAGAAGGGACTTTCCCACACGATTCAGTGCTTCGTGGCTCCACCACGCCCTTGCTCCCCCCGGAAAATTTCTCCATCGGTGGGGGCGCCCCTGTGCGGCATCCGGCGGACCCGACGATTTAAATAGCCAACTCTCGGCCAGTGTGAATTATGGACTTTGCGATACTATTGACCATTTCGTGTATGTAGCGTGTCAAAATTGAGGATATCAGTGTGATTTATACTTGGCAATTGTGTGGCTACAGCAACGACTTTTTCACACCCCGGGATCACCCGTTGGATTACCCATTGAGGACGATTGAGGAGTGCGGTCGAGTCGGACGTGAATCCCCCGATGAGAGGGCGTCAGTTGGGGTGAATTTAAATGCTCTCTCCTTGGCGATAAATCAATTGAAATCGGTGAATCTATCAATAATGTGGCGGACAACGAACCTCAATCGGATATCGTTTATCTTCTCGCTGACACTGATCTCCCTGCTCGGTAATTTTCTTGAGGGGTTTTCTTGAACTATGTTGTGTCCTCAAGTGTGTGTGTGTGAGTGTGTGTGCTTTTTGCCCATGCTTTGCATGCCGTGTGTGCTTTTTTCCACCCTTCCATGTACACATTTTCCCGCTGAAGGGACGAGACATTATTGTCACGCTGGAGTCTCTCTATCAAATCCACCGTGAGACGCGCTGCAAAAACCTTCAAGCGGAATAATCATCATATTTTATCTGTGAATTAAATTTAATGCAAATATAGTCATAAATATTCATGATTGCTCCAAATAAAATCAGTTTAGACACATCTCCTACGACACATCTATATTATTTCACGAATACACTTCATCCCTCGTGTTGTTGCTCAAACTGCCACCCTCAACCGTTGCCACACAAGTTTGCAAGAGACTCCTTCGCATAAGGCAGAGAGTCTATTTCACGGATTGTTGTACGGAAAAGACATTTACTTTGGATGTGATGTAATACAATTTTCAGATGTTTGCCAAAGCAGGTGCGACACAAGAGTGCAAATATGAAATGATATGATTTGAATTGACCGGTTTTACTGCACATATATGATGTTCAAATCAAATGAAAATACATTATAAAATCCCATAAATGAGCAATTAAAAGTATGATTTTGGAATAATTCTTTTGATGTTAAATTTGATTTGAACTCTAATTGTTTTGCAGAGTCACAATTGATTGGTCACAATAGTGGAATTGTATCGATGTTGAGAATCAAATTTCTCCATGTTATTTTAAAAAAAAAACACCCACGAAACTTTGAACTTTTCCGCGGAAATCAATTGCGATGAAAAGTGATTTGATTCGACGAATTTTGAAGCTTTCTGTGCAAATTTTCCGCCCATGAAGACGAACCGTCAATGTTGTAGTCCTATTTTTTCCCTTCTCGCTCTCTCTCTTCCCTCGCGTGAAAACACCCCCCCCCCTTAAAAACCACCCCCTCAAAACCTCTAAGTGCGGTGTATAAAGCGTGAAAAAGATATGAGAGGCGAAATTTTTCGGTGCGGCAGCTCGCAAAACTTTTACGCCCAGCCAGTTAAAAATTTTCCTCTTTTGCCGGCCAGAAAACTTTTCATGAGAGCAATTTTATAACTTGAATAAATTATCACACAATAATTCTTCGAGATTGGAAACGCGCGCTTCTTACATTATGCAGTGCCATGAATTGAGAAATGTTGCTCTTCTATGAGAACTTGTGCGATGGGGTTCCGCGCTGCCACCCCTCTGCTCTTTGTTGACGGGGGGGTGAAGACAAGCAAGCAAAGAAAAAAAAGAACAGTGCGGAAGCGGGCGAGCATTGTGAAACACTCACGAGATTCTATTTTAAATATTACATGTGGGCAAAATGAAAATTTAAGAAGCATTAAATGTTCATGTGAAGCTCTTCCAACCCCCCTTTTTGTGGGCCACAAACACCACCCGCGGCATCATCTTTGGCGATGCTGTGCGTTTGTGAAAAATAGATTATTTTCCGCATCTTGGCATGGCGGGAGCCACGAGCAAATTCCACAATATATAGGAATGTCTTGTAAATCATGGTATGTTTCTCCACTTTTTCTCCCACCCACCCAGCCACCCCCAGAGGCAATCTCCCCCTCGCACTCGTCACAAAAGGAGAATGAAATGACAAACACAAATCAGAATAAATGTTGCGACATTCCAACTCCAAATGAGCGACAAAAAGAAAGTCGAGGGGATGCGTAGAGGGGGCGGTCTGGGGCGGACAGCTCTCCAAAGCCCCCCCAACGGAAATGGCAACAAGATGATGGTATATGCCAGCGACCCGAGATTGTGATCTTTAATTCAAATTAACCGGACGGGAAAATTCCCAATTTCAACCATCAATTTCCTCTGATTTGCGGTTAACATTAATTATATTCATATAAAGCCGGCATGCGGGGTGGGATTTGCGCCACCCACCGAACATATGCTCGCAATTGTGGAGCTTTTCCGTTCCATTGTGAGCTCCTCAAGTATCTCCCCACATCTCTACACTACATTTGCATATGTAATTGAGCACCGGCCCACCCTTATCGCATTACACTGCGAGATGAAATGTCAGTGGATGAGAAATGTTTCACCATATATGAAATATTGCCGACTGCCTCGGCATGTGTAATTGCAGATGATTTACAGAAAAGACACCCTTCTTATATTGCCCAAAAATATACTCACAGGACATTTTGACCAGCGGTGAACTCTCCCTCGAGACAACATAAATATCGCTTAAGACAGAAGAAGTTACACTGAGAAGAATACATCGTAATTATTCTGACACTGAAATTTCCCACAACGGTATGGGAAATATTTCTATTTATATTGTAACTGTCGGTATTTCGCAATATGATATACAACAATATTGTAAAAAAAATGTTACCTTAATTTGGCAGAAATAATTACTTTCATTGTTAATAATGATTTCTAATTTTCACAGTAAATTCTATGTTTTATTTTGTAATTTTTCTAAAAAGTCTAGAGCACAGACTGATTGATAAAAAATTTTTTAAAAAATTTGTCTACAAATTACTGAAAAAAATTTAAAAAACAAGTAATAATTACCAGAAAAATTATAGAAAAGCTTTCGAGGCTCTGATAATTTGTGTGAAAGCTCAAGGTTTTTTCAGAGTATAAAATACGAGTAGAAATAGGAAAAATACGCGAATATTTCACTTTATTCCCAGTATATGTCAAAATGTTTGTCACTTTTAGACTGATTTTGAGCCTAATAACAATGTGGAATACTAATCATCTTCGTGATTAATTCAAAATTGACCAACATCTCTCTCAATTCACTTATCACTTCTGTGGGTAAATATATTAATTTATCATATTATATTCCCATTGTTTGATGACGCAAAGCAACTGTGCGGGAAATAATTTTGCAATATAATATCTCTCAAACAATGCATTTGCGAGCTGTGATGTTTAATGCATCGCAGTAGATGTGCGATTGGCAAAAGCAATCACAGCCACTTCACTGGGTCAAATCATTCGATTTCGTCGCGTGTTGGCGAGTAAATAGTCTCCTTGACATTTATGTGTAATATATGATATTTGTAAATGGACAAACGGAGACAATTTGCGACATAAACAAGCGTAATTTCATTCCATCAACTATTATTTTTCTTTTAAAGAGGAAATAATGTTTGTGCTTTCACTTGGAGTTTTATGAGAAAGAACAACTTTCACATTCACTGGCTTCTCCTCCCCCTTTCCTCCCACCCCCCATTGTAATGTGTATGTGTGTGCTATATATCTAAAAAGCTGTCGGATAAATGGGAAGGAAAACAAAAACCCGGTACAGTGGGTGGGCATTCAGGGGGTGGTGGCAAACTTTGATAATAACCACATACGACGACGTCACGAAAAGCTTTTTCCCCTTTTGCCATGAGTCCTTGGGTGGCTCTCTCTCTCTCTCTCAGGATCGGCAAAGTGCACACAAGTGACTTTAAAATTGAGATCGAATGGAATTTTATTTCATGTTTCACTCCAGTGGAGCTTTTTCTCGCAATCCAAACCATTCTTCTTGTCTGTCCTGATCACATTGCGGGATCTATGTTGTGTTCAGCTTGTCTGCCGAACCATTAGGATAAAAACTATCAAACACATTAGTCTCCTGACCAAATGTACACACATAGCTAGTCTGTGAAGAGAGATGGAAAACCTGAAGGGAAAAAGGTTCATGCTTTGCGCTCTTTTTCCCATCAGCTGAATTGCTGGGAAACTTCATATTTGCACACATCATGAATCATTGTAAAAAGCTCTTGAAGCATCGTAGAATATTGGAAAATTTCAAAAATATGGTCTTTAACACGCTTTGGGAGAAAAATCATTCGATTTCGTGTGCTTTCACTCTTCCTGAATAAGAAATTACTTGAGTGCTGCTTGCAAATCCGATACTAATTACGTGATGCCTCAATACCCACACTCCTGAATCATCCTCATTGAAGCTTATATTGCAATCAAAGAGGCCAGGAGTCGCAGGATTAGCAAACATCACCCTTACATAGTTTATGAGACACTCCGTCTAAGACATTCTGTACTTCCCTTGAGTGTAGAGAAACTGAGCCTGAGAGTTGAGTCACTATATATTTTGTAAATATTAGAGAAGCCAGAGTGCGAGATAATGTGGGGTTGTTGCAGTCAAAGAGAATAATAAGAAGCATATTTTCCCCATATATATATATATGGACTGCCGAATGCCATGAGGAATTGGGATAGAGATTATAGTGGAATTTCTCGTGAAAATATTTGTGTAGAATTTTCCTTCACTCATCGGAGGGGACGAGAAGATCCAATATTTTTCCACCATAATATGCTCTCAAATAAAAGTGATTCCACCAAATGGATGGGATAAAATGCTTCTGTGGCGCGAGGAAACATTAAATTTTAACACCTGGCGCCTCCACTGCAGCTTCATTTGACAAATTTCGGATAAGTGAAAAGTCTCAGGATGTTTTCTCAGTCAACCAACAGTTGCGGTGCTCTTTTGTCCTGAAACTTTAACTCGAAGCCGATGAGGAAATGCCCATTTTATGGATTACACAAAGTTTCTTTCGCTGAAATTGCCAATAAAATCACCTCATATTGGATTTCACGAGCTTTTTATCCCCGTTTTCTCTGTCAATCCCACAAATTATACAGAAACTTCTCTCTCTCTCTTCGATTGAAGACAAACCAAATTTTTTTTCGCCATGGACGGTAAAAAGAGCGAACATTTCCCTCAATAGTTTGAATTGGAGAAAGGATGCAAAGAAGGACGAGCGGCGCACATGAGAAGTTTCACGATGTGGTGATGAAAGAAATATTCCGGGGAAAGTTTTGAAATTTATGAGATTTGAGAGATTTATTTATGATGAACAGTGAATTCGCTTAAGGGAGACATGATTGCGATTAAGGATGATTCATTGGCCTCGACTTTTTGTGGATCCTGTGCAGTTAAGCACTCTTCTTGTGTCCCATAAAAGTGAACTG